GGGCTGCGCTCGCCCTGGCTACGGCTGCAAAACATGCCGTGGCCACCCTTACCCCAAGGCAGAGTCGAGAAGTGGAGCGCGACATGCACCCTTATCCATCATTTTGCGTCGCAGGGGCCCTCCGTCTGCGTCTCACCCCCGAGCATCTCCATGACTAAGTGGTAGGCCTTCGCGTCCTCATACACATCAAGCAGCCGCACAGCATGGGGGTGCCCCTGCGGCAGCCAAAGGGGGGGGGGGAGGATGAGAGGATTACAAACCACGGGAGGAGGGAGGGGACCACGCGGATGGCCCCAAACACGAGCTGCACCACTCAGCTGCTGCGCTGCTGACCGCAGCCGCGGTCGCCGCCGCTCCCCCAAGAAACTTCGCGAATCACCCCCTCTTCATCACAACAAGGCGCACACTCCGCCGCACACGCACACCTGCTTGCGCGCACACCCTCGCGCGCGCACCACCCCAAGCCCCCGACAACGAACGCAAGCACGCGCGCACACACGCAAGCCGCGCGAGCCCGCGCCTGCAGCAGCCGCGTTGCCCCGACCTCCAGCATGACGCGCCGCCGCTGCTGCTCCTGGCCCCGCCCGTCGCCCTCTTTTTTGATGGCCTTGATCGCCACCGCCTCGTTGGTGGAGCGGTGCGCGGCGGTGAAGACCTGAGGTTGTCCATTTGAATGTTGTCATCTGGGACGTTTGCCCGGTCAGCGGCTCGCGATCGGGCCTCGGTCGGGTCGAGGAGTGAGCTTTCTGGCGCCCCGGCGCCTGCCGGCACGCAGCCCACAGCCGCCCCGGCGCGCCGGGCTCCGGCCGCGATTCGCGGGGCGAGCGTGCCTGTTCCCCCCGGAAGCGGCGCGCGGCGCTGTTCCAGAGGCTCGGCGGCGGAGCCGCGTGGCGCGCAGGGAGGTGTGCGATCTGCAGTGCGGCGCAAGAGCTTGCCTTGCAAGAGGCGCCGTAAGACACGAGGGTGGCTCGGACGTACTTGTCTCTGCCAGTTGTGTGCAGGGTGCGTGGGCGCGTGTGTGCATGTGTGCAAGGATGTGAGTGTGTGCGTGCGTGCGTGTACGTGTGTGCGTGTGTGTGTGTGTGTGTGCAGAAGGGGCACTGTGTTGGCCCGCCGGCCACGCAGCACTGCAGTCGCAGCCGCCGTTCAGGGGTGCTCCCCCGCGGCGGGCGCCCTTGCCGCCCCCTCGCCCCCCCCCCCTGCGTCCTGCGTTGGCCCCACTGGCCTCGAGCTCGCGCACCTGAATGCTTGGCCCTCGTTTGCACTGAACATGGCAAGCGCGTCGTCCTGCGCGCGCGCCGCCGCGCGGCGCGACGCCTCCACCGCCGCGGGGTCGCTCGCAGCCTCAACAGCTTTCCGCAGGTCCTCGGACGCTGCGCGCCCCCGCGCGCGCATGCCGCCGCCGGCGCCGGTGAGCGTCGAGGCCGGCAGCGACGCGTTGCAGCCCATCGCGGGCGACGGGCGGGGGCCGTGGGCGCGATCCGCGATCAGCGGGCGGCGGGCGGCGGCCGAAACGCGGCGGGGTGGTGGGCGTGGCGCTGGGCGGGCAGGGCTCGATCAAAGGCGCATGTATTGTGGGGCGCGCTTGAAGCACGCACCCGCGGAATGGGTTCTGCACCCCTGCCGGAAAGCAGCGTGACCCGGCCTAAGGCCGGCGTGTGCGCCGCATGGCGCGCCGCGAGGTGTAGGAAGGGCGCCTGCAGCACCCGCTGGGCGGCGGCGCGTTGCCTTCAGAAGGGCCGCAGTCGGCAAATCGCTGCGTCGCTGCGCGCATGCGCGCAGGCACTGCAGCGAGCAGGGTACCTCCTCCTGGGTCAGGATTGCAAGTAGAAACGACTGCTTTCTATATCGATGATACGGATGCAACAAAGTGTACACGCAGCACGTGTCGCACGCGTTCCTTCCCGCGGCACTTGTTCGCTAAGCTGTCGGCATTTGTCTGAATGAACTTTGCAAACGAGGGATGACACGCCCGCGGTTTGGGGCTACCGTAGATCTTTGGACTGTGCGCCCGCCTCCCTACCTGCTTTACTGCATTGCTGCTCAGCGGGCTCCGCTGCTCGCGACCCGTTGTAGACCCCGCAAATAGGCCATCAACAATTGAGTGGGGGGATGTCAGCCCAAGGCCTAAAGACCAGGTCAGCCCCCACTCAACCCCTGGGCAGCCGGTGGGGGTCAGAGGGGAGCCCACAGTTGCAACCGATTGCAACTGATTACATCACCCTGTGACTGATTGCAGCCCGTGCGTGACCGATTGCATATGTTGCTGGTTCGTGCGTGGACTGCGGGCAGGGCGTGTGGCACCTCTGGTGTTGCGTGCGCAGGGTCCGTCATGCAGCCCGCTGCGGCCCCAAGGACGAGCACAAAGGCGCACGGCTAGCGCGCCACGGCTGAGCAGCTGCGGCCTCAGGTGAGCATACGCGCAGCACTCAAACGCACACCAACACTCTACGTGGAAGTTGCCACATTGATCTACAACTGCCACAGGCACCATGGGATTCTCAAATGCTGAACACCCGCGGGCCACCTCATCAGCTGCACAGCCAGCAAGGGCTGCGGCGCGGAGGCCGAGTCGCTGTGGCCTGGCCACATGCGGGGTCTACCCCTGGGAGGCACATTACAGCTGCTGCGACTGATAGCGGCCCCTGCAAAACTGATTACGACCGCAAGTAACCGACTGTGAACCCCAGCCGAGCCCGAGCCCACTGGCACCCTTACTCGGGCCCCAGCACTTGGCGCCACTGCTTTGCACGTCTGACGCACGTGTGAGCATACACACGGCAATCGATGGGCGGCTCGGTCAATAGGCTGCACTTGCAGTGGGTCCAGCACCACAACAGCAGCGACGCACGGCGGGTTGTCCTTGCCGGTGAATCCCAGCAGAGTTCCTGCTTGGCATGCATGATGTGCGCATCAACTCATTGTTGAGCAAGTGCGGGCAGCACCAAAATCGTAATGCGTAGAAATCACCATGTGAAACATGTGTAGGGACAGGCGAATCCAACAGGGCACAAAAGAGCAGGTGGAAGGTAGGCGTTGGGTCCTGCGACGCAGGTGAGCAATTCAAACGCGTATGTAGGCGCAAGCAGAATACTCCACAAAGCACAGTAAAAGGGGTGGGGAAAGGGTATCGCAGCCGTGCTGCAAGCGTGCCACAGCGCAAGGGACGGCGCTACAGGTGTGCTGCCTTGGACAATGGTGACAGGCGCCCTCGTGTCGGAATGCCAGGCTAGGGGGATAAGGATGGGGCAAACAAAGCCGTGCACGAGGCGAGCAACCACCCTGGGCCAGCCGGCAAGGCAGTGCGTCTGGCGCACCGTCCTTCTGGATGATGGCAGCTGCCCAGCTAAGTGCCTGCTCAGCCCTCGGTCGCCAGCCAGGCGCTGAATGGCCCATGCCAGCATGAGCATGGCCGCCTGTACCGCCGGCTTTGGATGCGTTTGTGAAACAAGAGCACGAAGACGCGACTGCGAGAATACGTCTGGGGGGTGCTGCTGGATAGGCTGGCAGCCACTCCAATTTCAACGGCCTGAAGGTCTGCATTGAGCGAAACAGAACCGGCGTCTGCGGGGCCACCACCGGGCTTGCCCTCCCCCGCAAGGCTCAGCGCTGAGCAGCGCTAGCGCCGCATACCCGCTGCCTGGAGCAAATGAGTATCGTGCTCCCGCTGCAGCAGACAGCCTGGCTTGGCGTCGGGGTGCCATGGCAGCGTGGTGGACATGCGGGCAGGGTAGCGCGCGACGCCCTCCAAACCCGCCCAATCCAAGTCCGCAAACCTGACCTCCCACCCATCGCCATCGCAATTGCCCGCGTCCACGCCGCGAGCGCGCCGCACCATGATGTTGGGGCCGCGCATGTCCCCGTGCACGGCGGGCGCGCGGCCGCCGCCGTGCGGCACGAGGATGCCGTGCGCGCGGGCCAGCGCTTTCTCCGCAGCCTCGAAGCACTGCTGCTGGTCAGGGCCGCCGTCCTCGAGCTCGTGGAGCATCCTCCAGCCATCCGCCTCTGCCAACAGGTCCATGGCCACGCAGCAGTACCCACCAGGCAGCGCATCGCAGCGGTGCAGCGCCGGCACCAGCCCCGCCGCCTGCCATGCGTCATGCACCTGAGCGCCAAAGGGCATGATGGTCGGTGTGGGCAAGCATGAGACTAGTGTTCAGGCGCAGCCCTGTGGGAGACTCGTGCAGCTGCTTCGGACCATCATCAAGCAATGGCGCGGGCGTATCAGGGGGGGATGGCGCATTCTACACAGCCGTCAGCTCTGCAAAATGTCCGCGCGGTGCGGGGAGTTGCCAGGCTTCCGGGCCCGGCGCAAGGTCGCCGCCACACCTCCAAGCGCTGCGTCGCAACACACCTCTGTGCAAGACGGCTCTTCGCAACACACTTCTCCCGCGCAGCGCCCCAACAGAGCAAGGATGGGGGAGCCAGGACAAGCACGCTTCGATCCACTCAAAGGCTGCCGTGGCTCACGTGATTGGGGTAGGGAGTGGTGGTGAACTTGATAAATTGAGCGCGCCCGTCCGCCCGTGTGGCTGTGTACAGCAGCCTGCCGCCGTGGCCAAGCAGCTGCCTCAGGCCCGCGCCTGTGACGTGCAGCAGGGTGTAGGGGAGCAGCGGCGCCGCCTCGGTCGGCCCAGGCGCCGCAGCCACGCGCCAGTCCGCCACGGCTTGCACCTGCCGCGGGTCCAGCCTCGCGCCCGCCAGCGCCGGCCCATACTCGACGCCGAGCTCCGACATAGCGCCCAGGACCTCTTGTGCCCGCTGCTCAAGGAGCCGCGGGGGCCCCTCGGCGCTGCCGGCGGCGATGCCCACGCGCTGTGCCAGCGCCCAGGCAGCTGCCGCGTAGCCGGCCAGGGTTGCCGCCAGCAGGTACAGCTGGCGGGGCTGGCGCTTGCCCTGCTGCAGCAGCGGGATGCGCGGGGTCAGGGCCTCGCTGACGATTGTGTTCGAGTGCAGCGTGTACAGGCCTGCATGGGCAGCAGGGTGCGGGTGGCCACTCGTTGGCAGGGTGGAGGAAGAGAGAGTGAGGCCCGACGCAACGAATGCAATGTTGCCAGTTGAAGTTGGGCCGCATGTTGTGGGCCCGGGTGCTGCTGGACACTTCCAGCCACCGGCTGGAAACCATGTGCCGTAAACAGCATATGTGCCAGCAGTGCTGGGGAAGGGAGGTGGCAAAAAACGATGCAATTCGTCTCATGCCCCAAACACAGGCTGCCCACATGCCTGTGTATGCTCATGAAGAGCGTACACATTGTGGCGAGCGCTGCTGGCAGAGCGAGGGAGCAATCCAGGCAAACGATGAAAACAGTGGTTCTCAGGCATACAGCGCCTAGCCTGGACTGTGGGTTATCATATCACGGCGCAACAGCAGGGACGCCTTGTCGGTGTGATTACTTCTTGACGGATAGGTATACAGTACCCGTGTGCATGTTGAAAGCTCGGGCCCCCAGCGCACCGCGGATGAGGAGGTTGGGCCCTGCCAGGTCCACTCCAAGTGCAGGCGCCCCCAGCGCACAGATCACCGGGTCCTTGTGCCAGAGGCGGCTGGAGTAGGCCTCCTGCGGGAAAGCCACAGGCACACCGCACAGGCATGTGAGTTTGGTGAGGTAGGCCTGGTGCCTGATATTTCAACTGCACAGGGGACAGGCTTCGTTCAGGCACTGGTCATGTAAGCATCCGGCTGTAGTGAAGGCGACGCCAGTGCAGCAGCAGAGCGCACACAACTTATGGTTGAGCGTACGGCATGAAGTGCTGCAGCATCCGGGGCTCACCTGCATCTGCCGCTGCAGCTGGTAGTCTGGGTCGCCACCTGGAAGCTCGTTCTCAGCCTCCAGCAGGACGACAGGGTAGCGGCTGCTGCTGCCCCGCACAGCGTACTCACCGCCCGTCCGTGGCTCGTGCGCGCTGCCGTTGCTGGTGCTGCCGCGTCTGGCACGCGTGATCTCGAAGCCAACCCATTCCTCGTGCCAGTCAAGGAAGGCGTTGAGGCGGCCGTCCTCCTCTGGGTGGAACCGGGCCATGCAATCCAGGAGCTTGATGGCAGCCTGGGGGGCAGCCGTTGCGAATGAGATGTTTGCACGGGCTCGGCCCAACTTGAGACATGTTGACTTTGTTCCCAGGTGGTGGTGTCTGCCTGCCAAAGGCACGCCACGAGCAAGTCACACCTGCCAGCCCGCACGCCAGCCCGCTTTGGGGACTCGCCTGGTACCAGTGCGAAGGGGGGGTCCACTGCGGTGCCAGGTAGGCGGCGTCGTGCAGCACGCCAAACTCCGGCGACAGAAGCATGACGGGTGGTGCAATGTCAAAGCCCACCTCCACCTCCCTGCCGGCTATGAACGCCCACTTTTCGGTCGCCAACCGCATGTGGTCCTGAGAGGAGCAGTGCGCCTCGGGCACATAGTCACGGGCGGCCGAGGGCAACGCCCAGGCGCTTCGCATTAAACACGGCTTTTTGTAGGGAGGGGCCCTGCAGGGTACTGCGTTGGGGGAATCGCCATGGGGATTGTGCGCAGTGAACGGTTGCTTGGCCCCCGCAGCCCTGGCGCCACAGGGCTCTGAGCTGCTTGAACGCTTGTTCAGCAGACGGGTTTGCGCTGATGAGGCATGCGCGGCCCTGCGGCAATATATTTTCTCAAGGATCAACATGCTGGCAAACCAACATGCACGACTCACCTTCTGCTGCTGCAGCTGCTGCGGAGCGATTCAAAGGCCAGGCGAGAGCCATGAACGTCCGCATGCGAGGATGCGGGGGCACAGCAGAGCAGTGACAGGTCAAACGCCGTCGCAGCACCCACAGGCGGCGTGCCAGGTTGCGCTGCGGGGCCTGTGCAATTTGACAACACCTGCATATAGCACCCTGTCGGCACCACACCGGCATCACTGGGACCACCTCCAACTGCCACTTAGCACCCTCAAGAACTTTTGTATACATAAGACACACTGTGCAGTTGCTGCACCGCGTCGGCGTGACACAATTGCCACACCCACCCCGGACAGCTGCCTTGATGGCCGCCTTCCGATCGCTGAACGGCATGCCCAGCAGACCAGCAGACCAGTCCGCGGGCATCTTGCCAATAGCCACTGCCGCATCGCCGCGAAACTCGGTCTTGTCACCGCCTGGGAACAGCTCAGACAATTCTTGCAACAGCTGCTGCCTGAAAGTCGGCGCATCCATGGGGCTGCGCACGCTTCAAGTGTGGCAGGCAGCACGCAGTGCCTGAACGCTTGATTTCACCTGGCATTGTAAGCAGCATGGCGATGAAGCCAGGATCGGGCTCAGGGCACCACTGCACCTCTTAGCAAGCACCATTGCAGCCGGCAGCGGCTGGTGCTGGTGCTTTAGGTGGTGCCAACTGTGCCAAGCATGGCCCCCAGCCAGCGCACACACCTCACAGCAACTATGCACCCCTCAGCCTCCTCCCAAAACGGCTGCAGGCCCGGATGTGCTGCTCGAAGCTTCGACGGGCCCAAGGGCTGTGGGTGCCCGTCGTCTGCTCGCAGCCCGTCTGGCCGTGTGTCTCTTTGGCGACACCGGAAGGGCCAAAGCGGGACAAAGCTTGGCGAAGCCTGGAGTTGCAAGCGCCTGAAACCAAGCTTTGTCGCTCCTGGGGCCGCGGCCTGCTAATGATGACGTTTCCAGGGCCTTTATGTAATAATACCTCATCTGGCCGGCCATGCCTGATCCGAACACAATGTGGGAAACTCTTCGACCAAATCGGCAACAATCGGACAGGGAGCGGCCCGGGGGCGGGCGACACGGCGCCTGGTGCCGGGCATGGCGTGCCTACAGTATGGCGTTGGTTGTGGCGGGGTCTACTGTGGTGACCTCCAGGCGCCCCACGGTACTCGAAGCCTCCTCGTCAATGCTTGCATGCTATGACGAAATTTTGTCTAAGTAAGTGACACGGGCTGCAACCGCTTACAGGGCGATGTACTCAGTTGCGATCGGTTGCACATCCCGGCTCCCCTCTGACCCCCACCAGCTGGTTTTGGTGAAGCCTGCCTTTCAGGGGCACCCCTCATTACGCTGCTACCTCCTGCACTCGTGCAGCATGACACTCCTGAACCATTAGACGGCACGGCCATTGTGGTCGCGAGAAGTGAGGACAGCGGCCTACCCTCTTTGCCGTACCAGCCTTTGCACCAATTTCCTGTAGCTTGCAACAGTCAAGCAACAGTCAATTCTCTGGACACTTGACGTTTTTGACTCACATTGGTCGCTGGCATTCATGGGAACGCGAGAGGGGCCTTTGTTGGCGTCTGGCAATGGCCCCGCCAACCGCCCAAGACAGCAGCAGGCTACGATTGATGGCTTGCCCGACCGGCGCCGGCAGCTGGATCCCACAAGCGGCAATGCTGCCACAAGCAATTACTCAATACAGACACATCTCGACCTTCAAAGCTGCGTCTGTGGTGTGGCGCAGCAGGTTTGAAACTGGTGCATTTCGCGCAAGCGCACGAGGAAGGCGCGCCGGCGGCGCGTGGAGAGCGATCGCCGGTGGGGCGTGCAGCCGGCTCGCTGAAGCAAGACAGGGGTGTGAAACTTCTCACCAAGAAGACCAGGGCAGCAGAGCCCATGCCAAAATGCTTCCCAACCAAAAAAGCCGAGGCTGCAGAGCACAGGCCAAAATGCACCTGCAAGCGCCGGAAAAATCGTCGGCGCGCTGGTGCAGCGATTGGCGGCAAACAGGTATATGTTGAATCCCGAATGTGGAACAGTTTGGTCAGGTTTCGTGGCCAAGGGAACCAACAACGCCTTGAACAAGGCACAAGCCGCACACAACGACAGCAAAGCAACAGCTTTTCTCAAGAAGGGGGGGACCCAACAAGTCCCCTCACGCGGCCCCCATCACGGCCTGCTCTGATGCCCAAGCCCCGTCCGCCGCGTCCGCCTCCGTAGCCTCCGCCGCCGCCTCCCCTCCGCCCTCCTCATACGCAACCCCCTGCGCCCCCTGCGGCCCCTCCGCCCCTTCCGCCCCCTCCCCAGCCTCGGGCTGCACCGGCGCCGCCGCGCCGCCGCCCGCCGCCGCTGCCCTAGCCGCCTGCGCGCGCGCCTGCGCGGCCGCGCGGCGCCGCTTCCGGTCCTCCTCGCCCTGCTTGGCCTTGAGCTGCAGCCGGTACTTCTGCAGGTGGCTGGCCACATTCTCACGCGTCAGGCCGTCGACCTTCATGATAGACATAATCGTCTTGGGCACGCACTTGTCCACGCCCAGCGAGTGCACTGCCTCCTCGAAGCGCTTGTGAAGCGACGGGGTCCACACCAGGCGCGAGCGCTTGAGGGCGTGCGGCTGCGGGGTGGGGCGCGGCGTAGGGGGGGGGGTGGGAAAAGGGTGAGGCAAGACAGACGATACCTGAGAGGACCGGGACGTGGCCAGCCCACACGCCAAGGGTTCAAAAGCATAGCGTCGGGTTGCCACAGCACCACAGGTGGGGCGCTGCAGGTGTACACGTGCGAAGAATAGCGCGGCGGGCAGCACGGTCGTTGCGGTGCTCACGTGCGGATCGCTGTCCTCCCCTGTGCACTCCGCCGGCCAAGCGGACGGCGGCTGCTGCGACTGCTGCTGTGGGTGCTGCTCCTTATGAGGTGCGTGCTCTGGTGTCGGCTGGTGCTGCTGCGGCGGCGGCTGTTGGTGCTGCTGCTGGTGCTGCTGCTGGTGCTTCTGCTGCGCATGCTGCTGCTGCTGCTGCGGCGGCTGTGGTTGGTGGTGTTGCTGCTGCTGCTCCACTGCTGCCAGCGTGGGGGGTTTGTGAGCGGCCTCATTCTGCCCGTCAAGAGCGAGCGGGAGCGCTGCCTGCTGGCCAGAGTGCTCCTGCTGCGCTGCCGCTGCCTGCTGTGCCGCTGCGGCCGCCGCCGCCACCGCCTGCTGCTGCTGCATAATGAAATCGAATGCGCTCGAGGGGTATGCCCCTGGGTAGGCGTATGCGCCTGAGCAGGGCAGAGGCGAGGTTGCGTTAACGCGTCTGGCACAGAGGGTGTGTGTGTTTATAGGAGGGCGTAACGCGGACGGTGCATGCGCAGTGCAGGCAGGACTCAGCCCAAAGCAAGCCGCGGTGTGCGCGAGAGGTCGCAGCGCCCACCTGGCATCGCCTGGAGGTAAGGGAGCATACCAGGCAATGGGTAAGGGTACCCGGGGAGCTGTCCCGCGGCGGCGGCTGCGGCGGCGGCAGCCGCGGCGGCGGCGCCGTATGTTGAGTATGGGAGCATGCCTGCCAGGTACCCGGCCGTGGCTGGCGGCACCCCCGACATGGACGCGCTCTGGCTGTGGCTGAATTGCACGACCTGCGCCGCGGCGGCCGCAGCCGCGAGCGCCGCGTGGTGCTGCTGCTGGGCCTGGTGCTGCTGCGCGTGCTGGTGCTGCTGCTCCAGGTGCTGGTGGTGCTGCTGCTGCTCCATATGCTGCTGCTCGAGTTGCTGCTGCTGCTGGTGCTGGTGCTGCTGCTGGTGCTGCTGCTGCTGCTCCAGCTGCTGCTGATCCAACTGGTGCCGCTCCAATTGGAGCTGGTGGTCGTGCTCATGCTGCGACTCCTGATGCTGCCGCAACTGCTGCGCCTGCGCGGCCTCGAATTCGAGCCCGGCAGCCTGCTGCTGCTGCTGCTGCTGCTGCTGCTCCTGCTGCTCCTCCGCCTCCTGTTGCTGTCGTTGCTGCAGGAGCATGAACTGCTGCTGCTGCTGCTCATACAGGATCCACTGCTGCTGTTGGTGCTGCTGCTCCCGTTCGTGCTGTTCCTGCAGCACGCGGTGATGCTCATGCGCCTCATGCACGGCCCTCGCAGCAGCGGCGACGGCGGCCAGCGCGCCGCCGCCAGCCTCGTGGTGGTGGCCGCCCACCGCCCCACCACTGGTGTCCGAGGGCGCCCTGTGCACTGGTTCATCGGAAAGCGGCGGACTGTCAAACCCGTCCGCTAGGCGAAGCGAGTCGTCGCCGCCGAGGAACCGCTGCTGCCCGAGGTCGCCGCTGCCAATGCCGTCGTCGCTGGATGGGCCACGGGGGCGCTCATCGCGCAGGCCAAGAGAGGTGGTGATGCCGAAGGCTTCCGCAAGGCCCGGCGACACCAGGCTGATTTGATCCAGGGGCAGCAGGTCCCCGTCGCCCAGCGAGGAGCACAAGGGCGATGAACACACGTCCACTTCCATCCGGTCGCCCTCATAGGGCTTCCCAGAGGCCAGCCCAGACCGCGCGAGCATCGAAAACTTGCGGTCTGCAGCTGCCTGGGGCCGCAGCCCGCTGACGTATGCGGACCCTATGCTGTCGTTGAAGCCCGAAGGCGACAAGGCCGCTAGTCGAGGCCACGCATGGCCTCGTATCGGTGTACGACTTGCAGCCCCAAGCAGGGCTCTTGAGAGTGTATGAAGCTGTTGAAAAACGTGACAACGATGTGGATGGTGCCATCAGCATGTGCATGCTGACGACGCTTGGCCCGCTCGGCCGCCGCTCCGCAGGTGCCCCGCCAACAAAGCGCACCAGGAGATCATGCCGTCGGATTCACCATCAGACCAGTGGTTTTTCTGCAGGCAGCGCTGGTACAAACGGACTAGAAGAAATTGCTGGGCTGCTTTTGACATATGGCATCAGCGAATGTGAGAAGACGCAAGCAAGGTATCAGGGCAGGGCAGCTTGTTGAGAAGCGGCTCGACAGCAGTCCCGCTGGTCTCTCAACGGGCAATTGCGGTATGCATGGAGTGAGCGCCTTTCGCAGTCATGAGCTTGTTCGGGGCCCACTCCAGCATGGCTGCGCCCTCACCAACCGACAAAAGGCCGGCCCAGCGCCTCGCACGGCCCAGCGCCCCGGCGAGTGCGGGCCACGAGGACTTGGGGAGATTGATTTTGTTAGGTTATGCAATGCACGAGAAGGTACCCAAGCTGCTTCATGCCAGTGGCTGCAAATGCAGCCTGTGCGTGTATTCAAGCTAGTGTGCATGCACAACATGCACGAGCGTGTGTTGGGCTGGGGACGAGCGAGGGTGACTGCTGTGGGGAATGCAGGCGGCGCCCAACTGAGACTGCAGGGTGGCGCAGCATGGACGTGTCACCTTTACTGATGCATAATTTCTCATGTCTGACCACCAAGACGATAGCCGCGTTGCATGTAGATGAGTGCGGCGGCATTAAAGCGTTCACAGCATTGCAGTGTCGGTTGTTCAACAGGTTTGCAAGGGATGACGGCCTCCGAAAGGCTGCGCTGGGACGCTTCTGTCCAGGCGCACCTGAAATTATGCGCTTGATACATTGATTGTAGGGAGCTGTCCGACATCTGGGCTCGGCGCGCGTGATCTGTGTTACTGCTTTTATGAACGGCATGCAACATCACAGAGCACAACATAGATCAGCGCACGCACCGCGACTCAATCCAGTGCAAGGCGCTGTTGCAAGGGTCAGGAGCGGTTCATCAAAAGCGCTCATAGCTGCGCGTCACCGCAGCGCGAACCTGGGTGCTTCGCCACAGACTGCGTTGACACCGATCACAGGCAGCAGCAAGGGGAGCGGCAGCGGCGGCAGCAGCGTCGGAGATGGCGACACAAGCGGCAGTGGCGGTGCAGAGGCTCTGCAGTGGCACAGGCTCGACGCGCCATTGCTGTGGCGGGTGAGCCGGGCGGTGTGCAACAGGCGGTCACGCACGCGGCAAGGGCCCCTTGCATGAGACCACACTCCGTCTGTATTGAAACCCTGACTTGTGCCACAACGGGCCAGAACGAAAGCAAGGGCCCGGCCCACAGCCTAGCCAGCCGCCCCGGACCCGCCATTCACCCCCCTCCCCGGACCTGCCTCTACCCCCCTTGCGGATGCGCAAGGGCACCTCCGAATCCGTCCTGGCTCCAGGCTCGCCCGTGGCGCAGCTGTCTCCCACCTGGCGGGTGCGGCTTCCCGGGTCCCGCGTCATGGCGCCTGCACGCCGTTGCTTTGGGCGCCTCAACACACACACACACACACACACACACACACACACACACACACACACACACACACACACACACACACACACGCGCGCACACAGAGCTGAATAAACAACCGGCCTGAGGCAGACCCTCACCGCTCTGCCCGCCTCCCTGATCCCCGCCCCACGGCACGCCGCCGGCACGCCGCTCCCACCCCAATAAGCGTGCACGCCCCCTCCCGCGGCGCGCGGCGCGCGGCGCGCGCGCGTGCTTTGCCAGATGATGCTCCTGAGCGACGGCTCTGTGACGCGCCACCTCGAGCTCATCACCGGCGGGGAGACGACTGTGGTGCGCGGCGCTGCCCCTGCCCCTCGGTCTCCCCTGGATCTCGCGGTTGAGGTTTAGGGTTCAGGATTTCGGGGCAACTGCTCCTGGGCACAATGCGGTTGCATATTTAATGGCCGGTTTGGCCTGCGAACGGCTTCGCCACAGCCCCTCATGGCAAGCCGCTCTGCTGCTGGCCCCCAGGGGGCGAGCCTGTTGGCAAGATGCGGCTGGCAGTGGCCGAAAGCACATGACTTGATCCCCACCTGCATCCCAGGAGTGCACCCAGATGCGGGAGCTGGGGCAGGAGGAGATGGAGGCCGCCGCGGTCCCTGCTGCGGCGCAGCGGATCCCTTCGCCGCTGCTGCAGCGGCAGGTGTGCATGGGCCCCGCCCCTCCCCCGTCTCCCTCCTACTC